CATAAAAAGGTTAATTTAATATTTAAAAGAAAAGACGTTTTTCACTTTTAAATAAATTGTAATGGAGTTATTTTTTATGTGATGTTAAATATTTGAGTGTTTTGTGTGTAAATATAAAAGTTTTAGGGTCTGTTTGGGGCAGCTGCAGCTTATCCAACTTCTGCTGATTAACAACTGATTCTGATTATCTGCTGATGAGCAACTGATGAGCAACTGATCCGGATAAGCTGTCTGGTTGTTTGGTTTGTACGTATGGAAACAGCTGATTCTGGAAAAATGACAATTCTGCCCCTGTTCTGAATAAGTTGTTTATCTGTTTGGTTTGTGCTTTTGGTAAACATTTTATTTGCAAATTTTTTAGTTAAATTAATAATCTGTGTCGTAGAATTTATTATTTTCTCAAATGTCACAACATGAAAATGCAAAAGAGTTGAATAACAATTTTATAACTCAAAAATTTTCGATTACGTCAAATAAGCATAGGGACATATACGAAAGTGAAACATACATTCACACACTAATACAAATTATAGTATGACAAAAAAAAGAAAAAAATATGCTAAAATTATAAGGAAAAATATGACAATTTTGACTTTAAAATGTAAAAGCACATCACGACGAATGTTGCCCGGTTCTGATACCTCAAAACCCCAAGCAAACTTGTCCGACTGAGATATCGTAGAAATGGAAGAATTCGAACCACATGCGGTAGTCTCCCGTTGTGGTACTATCAAACTCCTAGCAGCTGTGTCGAATTGGGATATCGTAGAAACAGTTGCACCGTCTGCCCACCTGAAGAATTTGCAGTCTTTCGATCCTTGTCCTCACCGCGGGCACCTGTAGAATTGCCGCCCGTAGCTATGTGCCCGTCGTGATGTGAGTAGCAATGAAGGTAGCCCACATCGACACATCACTTGCCCTGACTTCTCTGAATGTCTCGAGCTCATTGTCCTGCAATTATTATAAAAGTAAGCATACCAGTCAAAAACTGTAAGGGAATAAAAAAAACTTAACTTACCAAAGTGTGGAAGCAATGGTTGCAACAAAGTTCTTTGATCATCCAAGATGCTCCACTATTATATCAATAAAAGTAATAGACATAAAAATATAAAAACTTGTTTCTCAATCTTATCACTTGCTCTGACTTCACAAAATTCAATTAGAAGAGATACAACAGAAAATTTCATTCTCATAAAATGAGCTCAAAGCTCATATTAAACCGAGATAAAGGTAATATAACACCCCCCAATCTCCTATCTTCATTTTAAACCGAGAGAAGGAAAAAAATATAACAGAAGTATGTTTTGTATAGATGCCCATTAATTCAAAATAGCAGGTTTAGGCTAGGATTAAAATGATCATTCCATCAACTTCAAAATTTCTCCATACATCGCAATGCTTCGAGTGCTATATATGTAAATAGCTCAATAACATAATACAAGCTTTTTTGTCCTCTGAATAAACCCAGTAATTTGCTCTGTCATCATAAACTCGAAGAGTAGCACATTCATAAAATATGGAAAGGAATCAATGAGCATATACATTGCAGAGAACCGAACTCACATGATAGTAATGAACCTGTTCAAGTAGAAAATGTTGAAATGCAACTTCAGCTGTGTCAAATTGGGACAGCAATATGCAGTCTCCCTCAATTCCATCATCCAAAAAATAAATGACACAATTGTTGCTGTAATTATTTAAGCCATCCTAATGTGCCAAATATTTTGAATACAGGATTAATACAGTCTTCTGAACCTCATTTTTTAAAGAAATAACTATTTGCTAACATAATAAGCCAGCTCATATCAAACTACTATGATTGACAAAGAAACCACACAACACTGAAAACTACCTCTCCTTCCTAATTATCTTAAAATAACTCTACTCACAGTTATTAGTTTGACTTTAGAAACCCAAATTATGAGCTTGCTGTGAGGTAGATGGAAAAAAAAGAAAAAAAACAAGGTTTAAATTCCTGTTTTAGTTCAATTTGAACATTCTGATCATGAAATAGTGAAATGCCCTGCAAATTAACTCTAGAAAATTTCAGATCAGAAAAGAACTTGAATAGATATACAACGTGCGTTTTTTTTAATGATATGCACGACATCAAATCAAAAGCCAAAATGCTATAGCACTTTCAACCCAAACAACACATCACATGTTGTGATTGCTTCAAGTGAATATATGCAAGCTCTTTTAGAATCCATAAGTAGTAAAATACCTTGGGTGTGATATATGCAAGCTCTTTTCGAATTCAAAAGAAAATTGAATCAATAAGTAGTAAAATACCGCATAAATTGCTTCAAGTGAATCCCCCACAGTTATAATAAAATACCGCAAATTTCTAATTAGAATCCAAAAGAAAATTTGACTTTTTTCATTGAAGCAACAAACACATCACAGGTTGTGATTGCTTCAAGTGAATCACCCACATTTATGAATTAAACTAAACAGATTCAAATAACAATAAGAGCATCAAATTCTTCAAAAATTATCAAATACTGCCATTTGTGAAGAAGTTTACGCAGACATGTCCAAAACAACAGAAAGTGGAAGTAACGGTTGCCAACAACAAACATCAATGGCCATCCATGATGCTCCTACCACCAACTATCAAACCAATGCAACAGAACAACTGAATCGAACATATACAGGGATGCTTCGAAAATAAAATGTAATATGAGGCAATAGACTATTTATAGCAGCGGTTGCCTTTAAAGAATTGGCCATTCAAGTAACTACAAATGTTGCCCATAGCATTACTGTACTTCAAATACCATGGTCTTCCAATACAACCAGTGCACCCATTCTTTAACTTAAGAATATTGCTAATATAAAGGAGCATAATTGAAACACATAGTTTGTTTCAATACTGAAAATCATTGAAGAAATAGAGTACTACATAGTTTGTTTCAATACTGCAAATCATATGAATAGTAAAAAAACATGACAATGAATATTAGTGGGAGCATAATACATTTGCAAAACATAATTGAAACACATAATATGTAATCTAATCTAGATGACTAGGCTTATGTCATTTGCTATTTGTTCTCTCAAAGCCGCTATCTCTGAAGCACCTTCTCCATATGGGGTTTGTGTTTCTAGTGAATCAAGTTCGAGTTGTGGGATGGTACGTCCAAAGTGGTATTCAAATGCCTCAGGTGGTATTTGCAATGAATCTTCTTCTATAACAGCAAACTCTGCATCTATCCTGGAATGATGTCGTCTAATGAAGTTGTGTAGTGTCATTATGACCACTACAATCTAGACTTGTTTTGGACATGGATAAGTCGTCATATCACGTAAAATTACTCATTTCTTCTTCCAAACCCTGAACGATCTCTCAATCACACCACGTAAGGATGAATGTCTTTTGTTAAAAATTTCTTTCTTTCTTCATGCAACTCCGCTCGATCTCTCAAAATCAGGTATATGATATTTTGTATCTTGATATGGTTTCAAATATCCCCTTTGTAAATGATACCCGACATCTACTAAGTAGTACTTTCCTGTGTAAGGTTTTCTTCCATTTATAAATTTTAGAGAAATTAGGGTGGTCGAAAGCTAAACACGACTGTCATACCTGGTGGTGGATAAGAGAAATCATATTTTTTGTTGCTAGTGACAAACTTGAAAACACGACTATCTGTGCGCTACCTTCCCATCCAGCCATCACATAGGTGAAACACATGTTGAAATCACAAACAATCATTACATTTTGTGTTGGTGATCCACACCGTCCAATGTATGCAATTTTCTCTGTGCCAGAAACACGTGCGTCGACATGTGTTCTGTCAATAGCTCCGATACAATCAATTGATGAATGAATTTATCAATAAGAAAATCATATGTGTAAAATTGTTGGAACTAATATTTAAATTAGGGAAGCACCTTTAAGAACGACATATAACGAGGGTCATTCGCAACATTTGTGGGGATGGACTGGAATGTTGGGTCTTCTAATTTGACTATTTGACGGGCCAGACTCACTAGTGCATTCAACTCAACTGAGAAATATCTACTTATGGTTTCTGAGGAATGTTGAAACCGTTCCATAACTCTAATCGATTCATTCTGGGACAAAATGTAAATTGTTATTGCCAACATCTCTCTAGATGTTCTTGATGAACCTTGCAGTCCGTGAAGGGTCTGAAGTTCATTAAGAAGTATTAAGAAAAATACTTTTGTCATACGAACATATTTGCAAAACGTGTCGGGTGACCACTTAATAACTCCCCGATCCATCTATCTCCAATATTACTAGACGTCATGTATGGGTTTTGATCAACATATGCATTGTAGTAATGGTATAACAATGTAACGGTGACAGCAACAATACAGATTTGATTAATTTTTCATTCATCCATAATATAAAATCTGGAAGAAAGAAAGATAGATTTTTAAACAAGTGTTAGACAATGGCAACGATACATAGACTACATGCATGTAAATTTACATACATGCCACAAAATTCACTGATATTTGCATATCTAAACACTCAAAGTTCGATACATAGACAACATATTCATGCTTGAAAGAAATACAATACGTTTAACGAGTCCATTACATAAATAGCACATAAGACTTAAATAGATATGAGTCCATAAAAATAATAGTTAATGTAACCCAACAATAGTAATGAAGTTACATAAATAGCATTCAATCTTTCATAAAGCGCGCAAGTAGGGAAGACGGAATTCTGTGTCCAAAGTTTCAAAGAACTTCCTGCGGGTAGAGTTTCCTAGCAACTTGACATACTTAACATACATAGCTTGGTCTTCCTTAATAGCAGGATATGTGTTAAGGATCCTAACACACTTTTGGATTGTGATGTCCTTCGCCTTTTTGGAATTATTTTCACAATTTTCAATCAATGTCTCAGTAGAACCTCTAACAAATGCAAAGCCTTTTTTATTTTTTGCAGGTCGGGGACTCTTTGTTCCACCAGTGGATTGGATATCTGTTGGGATTTGGCTAGGACCCTCTTCTGAATCACCTATATGCTTGGTCTCCATATCCTGTGCTAGGTTTGCGAAACCCTGCTCATTTAGGGTGAAAAAATGAGCTCCTGTTGCTACCACACCAGTAAACATACCATCAAACTTCTTCTCCAAAGCTGGTTCAATTCCAGTCAATTTGAATTTTTTTGCCGTTGGCACTGTCTTTAACAACAACAAAAAACGTAATCAATATTCAAAATATTTGTCTATAATAATAAGTTGAAATAGTGATGTAATCACCATTCCTCAGGTGCATCAATTGTACGTTTTACTGGATCCCATCCCAATTCAGTTGATCCCCTCTTGAGCTCTTTCCAAAGTTTCCAGTCCTTTTTTAAATGATTCCATTTGTTTTTTAGTTTCATCATATCGTAATCCCTTCCAGTTATTTCCTTGAATTTATTTGTGAGATTATGCCAACCTTCTTTATTAAAATAAGTAGTGGGTTGATTTCCCAATTCGACCTCCCTTAGACATAGATCACAAAAAATATTAGTAGCTTCTCTATCCCACATAGCCGATGTTCTGGACTCTTTAGATTTACTCATTTTTTACTGTGACGTGAACGGATGGTAAGATGACATTTATGACTGAAAATGAGCCAGTCAAGATATGGAATTTGCATATTTTTAAAAAAATGCACAATGATTATGAATTAAAATATATATTGGTATATTGGTGAAACAAAAATGTGCTTTTAATATAATCATCATATATGAAATCTTTTCTTTTACTCGTCAATGAAACCATATGCTACTCTCCAGAACCACAAGTAGTATGAAATGATAACATTAAGTTCCGTATAAGATAGCAGATGTCTCAAAATCA